GGGGTGGGCGCTGGGTGTGTGGGCTGGTGAGGAGGCATCGGGTGCACGCAAGGTGGCATTTGGTGTGTGCGGTGGCAGCTCGCTTGCTCAGAGATCTCCCAGCAAGTTCAAAACCATCTCCCAGTGAGCAAGCCACTACCTCTAGCCCACTCTGCAAGGCAGTGGTGAGCATGCGGGGGGGGGGGGGGCGGTGGCGGCTTGCTCCCTCAGAGATGGTTTTGAACTCACTTGGAGATCTCCCAACAAGTCCAAAACCATCTCCGAGCGAGCAAGCCACCGCCTCCAGCCCATGTGGCGAGCATGCATGCAGGCAGTGGGCGGCAGCGCAGGTGGATGAATGGGAATAACAATAAGTCCCTCTAAATCTCTTTTTCTGTGCATGTTATTGTCTGGTTGCATCTCCCTTATGTGAGTATGTGCTACCTTTTGTTTTCCTTGATTGGCAAGACTTCCATTTTCTGAAGGTGGTTTCTTTTCTCAAATAGCTTCTTTGACACTGCTAATTAACAATACTGGTGACATTGGTGCTTCCTTTATTAAACTGTATTGTACATTCTCTGCATAATGCCACTCTCATTGAAGGTACTAGTGAGTCTTTCATTAGCAAGCTTCTTGGACATTATATCATTAATACAAGCTGATTGCTCGCATGAACCAATACTTATAGATATATCAGATTTATTCACAGCTTATCTAAGTACCACACTTGCCAAAGAAATATTATAAGTGAGGAATGTCATACCCAGGAGAAAACGCATAGGAACTTTGGGAGTGCTATATGGAAAAGTTATCCTAACCTAACAAATCTGATCCCCTTCTTCCACAAGTTGGCCTGTATGTTGTAAATGCAGGATAGATTCGGCTTTTGGGAGATTTCTGCTTTTAATGCACATACGGTACATTGAAATAGTTCAGGGATGGGTTGTAGGAGTAATTTTTCCAAGCGTATAGAATCCACGGCTCTTCCCCTCCAGTTAGCAAATTTGGCTGTCCCCACAGATGGTCAAGATTGCTAATGGGCTATTGGTTCACATAGAAGCTATCAGGAACAAATTCACTGTTCCCAAGCAGTTGATGCCTGTACTGAGAAAATGGATATTGATTCTTCCAGAAGAATTAACTAGGACATTTCCAGATACCACTAATGTAATCAAGAATTCTTTATTTCTTTTTTCCCTGCATTTTAGTGATACGGACCATTTCATGCTGCAGTGGCATTTAATGGTATACACTGTGAACGGGGCTTGGGATGTATGCAGCAGGCTCTCCATGATAAGTATGTCACTGTCTCAGGCAAAATTGTTCCCCAGGAATGTAGGAGGTACTGTTTTGATGAGTTCTTAGTAGACGTGGTAGTGCCTTACTTAAGTGATCACTCCAAGGGGTACTGCTTTGTCCACCTGTGAAAAAAGGCCTACATCTCCATTATCAAGTAGTAACCCACTTGCTGGTACTTTGCCCTGGAGATGCCATTATTCGACCTTTCCTGGATTCCCCCAGATGCCTATTATCTGTTTGCTCACCCAGAATGGCATCTTTACTGAACTGCTGTTATGCATAAATGCAGCAAACATGTCCAATTATTATCTGATTAGAATAATCATTTCCTCTTCAGCTGTCTGAGCTGTCGGGTGCCAAGTGGGCCTGGGAATTGGGGCTTCCAAAAATAGCTCACTGTTCTTGAGAGTTTCTGCGGGAGGGCAGTGCTGCAGAATTATAGAGGCCTCTATTTAACTCCTTCTTTGCACCTCTTTGCAGTTGTATAGGAAGAAAAGACTCTGGGTGGTTCTTTACTTTTAAATGGTCTGCTGGTTGCCCAATGTAACATACACAGAGCAATGAGCAAGCCATGCTCTTTAATGCAGTCACCTCAAGGATTCGCCTTGCTCTTAATACTAATCTCCTCAAACAGCAAATTATACAACAGGCTTCCTTGGCATCAGCCTGTAGTTAGTTATCTCCTAGATATTCCTAAGCAGTTTGGACAGAAGCTGTCAACCCATCATATGCAGGGAAGGACAGTTGGAGCTTTGCTGACTTCTGGGTGACTGTACCTCTGTTCTTCTGTTTGTAAGCTGATTATAAGAGCTCACTTAGTGAGCATCCTGATTTTAGGTTCTTTCCCTAAAAGGACTTGATTACACTGTTGAATATACCTGTCCTGTGGGTCAGCATCTGCTTTGGAAGTCCTTGATCTCATCTTGTAGTTCAGTCTCTTACAGGAGATAGATAGCACTTCACCCTCTTGAAAAGGCAGCTTCTGGGGAAACTTGGGCTTTTAGAAGCATCTCCACCTATTCAGATTCCCAGCTGAATGCTCTTGACACTAGCAGTGTTGCACTGATGTCAGTAGTTTTTGCTGGCATGTTCTTTTAAGGATTGTGGGATTGTGGTAAGTTGCTCTGTTGTTCCAGGTGCTGCACTGAAGATAACAAAAATTATTTCAGATTCTATTTTTTGTATCACTCTTTTTCACCTGTGAAATACTTACCATGATGGAATGAAGCTTTTTTATGCTACATTTAATATAATTCAGAAGCAAGAGTACTCTTTGCAACATTTTATCATGGAGAGGTGATTTAGGTGAAGGAGTGTGGTAATCATCCACAGGGACACTGTTTATACTGATAAACAGTGAATAGGCCTGCTTGGAGGAACTCCAGGATGTCTGGTGTACCCAGAACCAAACGGTCACTGCTAACCCCCTATTGGGCATCCAGGATAGGGAACAGGAAACCATGACTAGGGTTGGTTGGACTTGGGGCCTGGGTGCGTGGTGGGGGACTGCATTTTGTGGGGAGAGAGGCCATCTTGCAGCCTATTTCTGTGGCTGGAGTCTCCTGCCTAATGCCTGGGTCTAGATCTGTGACCATGCAGAGAGGTAGATTCACCTAGTCTTGTGGGGCTGTGAAGCTGTCTTCCTTGATACTGTACCCAAGCAGTGCTTGATATCTGGTGGCAGCAGCTCAAAAGTGCTAGGCCGACGCGCATGTGCTGCAGCAGGCAAAGTGCCTGGACTGGGCCTTATTTATTTGTTTGTTTATTTGACTTTTATCCTGCTCCATTATCCATAAGGGCCATGGTATGTGGCCTGCGCTGATATATGTGTGTAGCCTCAGGTTCAGTAATGGGCAGTAAAGTTCACAGCCACCGTTTCTCTTGTCCCACCTAGGGTGCCCAGAGCTTTTGAATTCAGCGGATTGTGAACATCAAGAGCATAACCCATGTGTCTGTGTTCATATAAAGAAAGGAGGGCACACCACCCTTGAGCACTTCCTTCTGCCCCTCCAACAGCAATTAAACTGTCATATTTAAAATGAATGTTTCATAATTTCTGTCTAGTTTGGACTGGGTTGCAATTAGTGTATTCTGGAAGCTATTTCCTTAACATACCTTTGAACCTCATCTATTACTGGAGCTATTCTTATGAGCAATTCTCCATTACCTTATTGTTCCCAGATAGCTAGTCACAGCATCTGCTATACTTCTCTCTCCCTTTCAAAGAGAATACTTTTCTTTAAATTGCCCCCTTTTTGGTGTTGCAGTATGGGTTTGAACACCTTCAAACATACAGGTAACAGCTAAAAGAACCTTCACATTGGATTTTGAGCTCACACTTAGCATTGAGTCCTGCTAGATATGGGCAGTTATTTGAAGTAGGATTGTTACGAGCAACTCTGTTTAAATTAGAGTAGCCCAATTTAAAGTGGGTGTACTTTGAGCTTGCCCTAACTGAGACCACTGTTTTCACTGTTCCTCAATCTTTGCAGCCAGTTGACAGCTCTGTGAATCCAGGGAGAAGCCATACAGCGCTGGCACAGTTAAAACTGGAGATCTTGGGACTTGCCAGTCACATGGTCCCTAGTTGCATGGAACTGTCAAATACTGCAACTGGGGTCTGTGTGATTTGCCAGATGCAAATAGTGGCTCCATGCAGTTTCTCCTGCACTGCATAGAGTTCTCTGCTCTGCTCTTTGGCCCCCCATTGCCCACCACCTCTTTCCCAAGGTAAAAAAAGTCTTTGTTCTTGGGGAAGGTCCAGGAATTGGCAAGGTGAATGGGGGTGTTTAAGTGGCAAAGAGTAACTGGACTACTTTCACATTCAAACCAAACACTTAAAAATGCCCATTTAGCAGCTCAATTGATTTTCAGGCTGATTAAGTAGTAGTAATAGTAGTAGTAGTTGTTATTATCTACTCCAGCCTGATTTATTCCACATGCAAAATAACCAAGGTTTTAATGACTTAGATTTATTTTGACTCTTGACAAAACTGCCTGTTTGAATTGCTGCTTTGGGAAAGAGTTTGAAATGCTCCATCTCACTAGTGATTAATTAGTAATTCCCCACTGTGAAGACACAGAGTCTCTCAGTTTATCTGCTGGTCTGAATATAAATTGGGACTGCATGTCTTTCTGTCTGTCTTTATTTTATATATTTTTGTCTACCTTTCAGTGCGGCAACGCTGTCAAAGTAGTGTACAACAACAAAACTCACAAACTAAAAAACCTGATATGATGATGATAACAGTTCAAAGCAGCAAAGCATTAAACATACTAAAAGACAACAAACACCAGCCTAAAAACAAAACCTACCTTATGCAAATACAGGCAGTTTGATAAAACATAAGCAGAGGAAGGCAAGAGCAAAGTAGGAGATTTTCAGGTTTTCCTAAAGCCTGCAGTGGGTTGACCTGGGAAATGTCCACTGGCAACTGTGGAGCCACTTTGAAAAAGGCCCTCTCGCAGGTAGTCACCCACCTATCTGCCCTTGTAGGTGGACAAATGAAAAGAGCCTTTCTTACAGATCTTAATGTGCATGCAGACTTATACATGATGGCAGTTTTTCAAGTAATTTGGTGCCAAACTGTGTAAGGCTTTATTGTTAACAATCAAAACTAGCACTTCAAACTGGGCTCAGAAAGACTGTGATAAGCAGTGGTGCTGTAGGTCCCTCTTCTCTCCCCCAACCCCTGACACCATTTCTCTTTTGGTCCTCACAGCTGGAATCTAAGGCTGGGAAAGGTCTGTCAGAGCGCGCTCTCTCTGACTGGAAAATGGCTCTAAAGAGAGAGCGGGAAGAGCACCAGCACCTCCTGGCTGAGTCATACAGTGCTGTCATGGACCTCACCAAGCAATTGCAGATCAGCGAAAAAAACTGGGACCAGGAAAAGCTGGAGCTCCTGGACCATTTCAAGGATGAGCAGCAGCAGGCAGAGCAACAAGTGAGGGAGCTGCAAAACAAAATTAACCAGGTGGGAGTGGAGGGTACATCTTGCATGTGAGACACAACTTACCCCACAACTCAGTTCTGTGTATTACAACAAGAGGTGAATGCACATGCTTTAACCAGATTTTTTATAGAGTTTCCTGCTGCCGTTGTTGCCACATGAATGCAAGCCCAGGTACAGAACCAGGGAGTTGTAGCTGGTAGGACATTGTTAGACTGGCGAGTTCTGGATTTAAATCCTTGTGTAGCCATGAGGTTTATTGGATGACTTTTGCCTAACTCCTTCAAAGGATCATTGTGAGGAGAGGAACCATGTATGCCACTTTATCCCCCTTATAATAAAAATATAATAAAGATGCCATCAGCAACAACAAATGATAAATGATGGCATGGAGTGAGGCATGCCTATCCCCTAGACTGGCCTTCCCCAATCTTTTGCCTTGTGCCTTCCAGGACTACAACAACTAGAATTCCTAGTCAGTGGCTCTGCTGAATGGAAATTCTGGGAGTTGCGGTCCAAATGCCTCTGAGGGCCACCAAGTTGGGGAAGGCTGCCCTAGACCTGTAGACTTGTTTCCATTAATACGTGCATGTGTAAATCCATACAATACTCTATGTGTAAGGAGGCTATGGCGTTCTGCTGCATATCCCCCTGCCAGCAACGTGTGCTGGTCATGTGCTTCACTGGATTCACTTTCAGAGACCATGTGAATGGGGTGTTATGCATGGGGTGCTATGTATGTTCATAGAGCTTCCCGATGCAGAAAGAGATGCTGGGTCCTGTCACAGGGAGATGTATGCATATGTGGCTGTATTGCATTTAGAGCACCTAAAAGAGCTGCTAAAGGCACATGTGGAAGGAGGAGGGTTAGACAACACAATCCTGTAACTCCATTCACACATTATTTCAGTTCATGAAGGGGGTTAAGTCAAACCTGCTAGTTAAATATAGGCATGGATGCTGGTCCAAAAAGCCTGAGCAGAAAAGGTGGATCACTGCGGTTTGTTAAGCAAATTGAAAAACAAAAGGTATGCTACAGAGGAAGGGGAGCACCCCCTCCTGTCAGATAATGGCAGTCCCCTAAATATGTGAATTGGTTTTTCCAAGGAAAATTGGAGTACACTGCAGAACCTTGATACTCGAGAATTCTTTTTTATTTATGAAAATTCATTGCCTTCTAAAAGAAGGAACTCTCACCCCAAACCTCATAGAAGTAGAGGGTATTCTTTAGCCTAAATCTGAGCCATCAAAATAAACATGATATGCTTCATCTCGGCAACTGCATCATATATATGTTGCTCAGAATCATCAGTGGTCAAGTTGGAACCTCTATCTCTCAGTAGCATGCTGAACTTTGCCAGCAGTTAATATTCCACTGACACAGCCTCAGCTTGACCCCTCTCACAATGGATCCTAAGCGGGACATCTGCCCTGAAGCTCCAATTTTTGTATTAAAGATTGATTTTTAGAACAGTTTATCTGCTAGAAAAGTGTGGGTCTTGCAAGGGGCAACCAATATTTCCTAGTATTTCCATGTCAGTGGGAGGCCCCTGCAGGCTCTCAACCTTGTGGTCCGCTCATTGGAAACAGAAATAAGGTTACCATCCTCAGCAATAATTTTCTGATGAGAAATTGTTTCCTATGTACAAGCTGAGCACTTGAATTACTCTCTTCTGTATACTGTTTTACAGCTGCAGAAGGGAGCTGACCGATGGGCTCTAAAGAACTCAGAAATGGAGAAGCATGGCAGTAGCTGGAAAGAGGTATGCAAGACAGAAATTGCCTGGGTCAAAGTATATTGATATTGGTCATGATTGCTTTGAGCGCTGAGGCAGGAATGGAATTGGAACATCCTGTGTGTATAACTATACAAGTTTTTTGCCGTTTAACTGCACACAAAGTGAAGCCTTAGATTCACATGGACAGCTGACATCACTATCCCTTTACCTGAATTCCTTTAGGCTGCCCTAATGATGTGAGGCACAGTTGATAATAAAGGCATCTCTGGTGTTGTTTCAGACTCTTAATGAGAAAATCACTGACAAAGAAACTGTTTCTGAAATGGACATCAAAGGAAGTAATTTGAAAAGGTGAGGTGCATGCTGATCTTCTTGCAAAGCTTCATGGACCATGCTTTGCTCCTTTCTTCAGTTCCTCAAAAAAGCCAGCTTGCTCTTTTCCCCACACCTATACTTCATTTGTAAAGAAGAGAAGCAGACTCTGGCTATGGGATTCAGCAGTAGTGGCTTCTTATATGCACAGAAGAAGTAGTTATCTGACATCATGGAGAATTTGCCCTACTCAGCTCAGCTTTGCAACTGGCTGCAAAATGTGGGATGGTGGATCATCCCCGCCAGGCCAAGCCGCATGGCTTACCAGTCCTCAAACCACTGTCTCCCATGAGTGTAGATGTCTCAGTGTGAGCTATTCCATCTTCTAAATAGACTTTTTTCATGGTAAGAGGAAGGATGATAAAGGCAGTGTGAAGACATGGGTGGGTTACAAATGAAAGATACCATCTAGACACCCAGCCCCAGTGAAATTTTGTGTGTGGGCTAGATCAACTACATAATAAAAGACACACCTGGAAGCACCCTTGGTGTTTTTCAGTAGCAAACACAGAGAGAGAGACTTGGAGGTGGGAGTTTCCATATTTCATAGACTGATGATGTTGGGGAGAACAGTGTTTTTATCCCACTTCCTTACATGGGAAGTGGAGGACATGATGAATAAACATCATAATGCCAGAAAGTCCAAATGCAAATTTGCTGAACTAAACTTCAAAGGTAACGGAAGCAAATCTGTAAATTCTGTGCATACCTCTGTCCTCTGTCCATTCTGATGTTAATGAACACATGTCTTCCATCATGTTTTCCTTGCTTATCTAGGCAATTGGGGAACAACAGGAAAATTGGACCATGTTAGTGTGCAGAAAATTAGAAGAACTTCTTCTTAGGAAAGACAGAGCCAGGAGACTGAAATAAACCACATTCCCTAATGCATAGTGTATTTATTTCCGTCTTTTGCCCTTCTAGGACAAAATCAGTCTCCTCAATGTCTGAATTTGAAAGCTTACTTGAGTGTTCTCCTTACCTTCCTGGGAAAACCAGCCCTGTGATCATAGACAATGCCCGCAGCCAAAAGGGGTCTTCAACTACACAGGTGTTGCCAGACACTTTAAAGGACTCCGTAGGCCTCTCCCCCAAGAACTGTGCCTATGCGAATAGTGAGCAACCTACACCTGACTGCTTGACCCCCAGAAAGCTGGATGTCCCCGCATGTGATTGCAGCCAGACTAATACACTCTCTGTGCAGGATCAGACTCACAAACATATGCAGAGGAGCTACACAGCCCCAGACAAGACTGGGATCCGGATATATTACAGTCCACCAGTGGTACGCAGGTTGGAGCCACCTCTAGTGCACAATAGAGAGGGGAAGATCATGGTTGAACCTGGTTTTCTGTTCACAATGGCCAAGCCCAAGGAAGAATCAAACAACTCAGAAAGCATGTACAGCCGGTGGCTGTGCAACTTCTCCAAGCAGCACCGAGAGCTGCTTGATGGTGCTACAGTTACTGAGAAAGTGGTGGCCCCTGTCCCCAGATTTCCGCCTTCCCTGCATGACCTTGAAATCTCTGGCAACATGAGTGATGACATGAAGGAGATCACCAACTGTGTCCGGCAAGCTATTCGCTCTAGCTCCCTGGAGCGAAAAATTAAGAGCACTTCTAGCCAGACAGTGGGGTTGGTCAATGTTGGTACCCAGACGATCCAGACTGTCAGCATTGGTTTGCAGACAGACATGCCCAGGGGTAGCTTCCACAGCAGCAAGAGCTGGTCCCCACGAAGCTCCTCCCTGATGTCTGTGCGCAGCAAGCAAATCTCAACATCTCTGGACAAGGTCCACTCCAGGATTGAACGGCCTTGTTGTTCCCCCAAGTACGGCTCTCCCAAACTCCAAAGAAGGTCATCTTCTAAGTTGGACAACTCCAAGGACCGAAGCCTGTGGAACCTCCATCAGAGTAAGCAAAATGGGTCGGCCTGGGCTCGTTCTACCACAACCAGAGACAGTCCTGTTCTCAGCAACATTAATGATGGCTTGTCCAGCTTGTTCAACGTTGTGGAGCACTCTGGGAGCACAGAGTCTATCTGGAAGCCAGGGTGTCCAGAAAGCAAATGCAAACCAGAAGCACCCAAGTATGGGATAGTGCAAGAGTTTTTCCGGAATGTGTGTGGCAGAACTCAGAGCCCCACTTCAGCACCTGAGAAGAAAGACCCTGTAGGGGGAGACAACACTAGCAAGAAGCCAGAGAATTCCTCCTCACTTGTGCTTCAGCAGTCTGAAAATGCCCCCAAGATCCTTGACAAAAAACCCTTGAAACCCAGCTGCAGTGAGGAACCAAAGTTGCCCATCCCAAGCCAAAGTGGCAAGGCTCTGGCATTAAAGGAGTTGGACACCATCTCTGCTGCTGTTGCCAATGAGGTAATGTTCCTTTGCTTTAAAACTAGGATTTTGAACCCTTTCAGGGTGAGAGCCAAATTTTCAGAGAAGTTGTTGGGGACTGCATTTCAGTGGTGGGTGAGGCCCAAGCCAAAGGCAAAACAACATGGACAGCATCCATAATACTTTGGTGTGGACATTATTCATTATTTAAAGAGAATTCTGAATAGGACTGGAGGAGGATCCGGAAAGAGATCCGTTATGACGGTGGACTAATGGACTTAACTCCATTAAGACACAGGACTTAATCATGATACGCGCTGTACAGCCTCTACAACTTTGCGTTTCCAAATCAGGGTTTATTTATGGAATAGCCGTGCTGACTTCAACAAGTGTTCATCCTGCTTTCTTGCACTTTCTGATCTAGCAATGACATTGTGGACAGATTATACAAATCTCCTTAATGAGGAGCACTGGGCACAGACTGGCTATCAAGCCACACCCAAGCCAGGAGTCTAGCTTGCAGTACAGCCCATAGGAGTTGCAGTTAGGATTGATATGGTGCATTTCAGCTGATCAGGGTTCTTCAAATACATTACCACCACAGCATACCTGTTGGGTAGGGCTATTACTATTTCTCTATTGGAGATTTGGGATCGAGAGTGTATGAGGACATAGTAGCCTTAAGGCCATTTGTGAGTTTGTTGCTGAGAGGACAGTATCACATGATCACAGTCTCAGTCAGTGGTATCCTTTTGGGCCCATCCTTCATCAACATGCCACCCTTTTCTCTTTGCAGGATGTTGCCTGTGACTGCAGCTCCCAATCATTGACCTCCTGCTTTGCTCGGCCATCGCGCTCAGCTATCCGTCACTCCCCTTCCAAGTGCAAGTTGCATCCCTCTGAAGGCAGCCGTGTGGAAGAGAAAGCAGGGCCCCTGAGTGAGTGAGAGGGCTGCTCTTGCTAGTCTGATGATGGAAGAGCGACTTCGCCTTGGAACTGCCAGTCCCTTTGGCACCTTCTGGACTGGCTACCTCTGAGCAAACCGCATCCAAGGGGCTCTGCTCTTAGATTCTCAGAGCAGTACCCTACAGCATTGCCTTTCTTGTCTTAGCTCAGCAAGGATACCTGCAACTCAGAAGCTGTGCTCTACAGCCAGAAGATAGAGTGGGAGTCTTGCTAGGGTATGGTTTCTTGTCACTGGAAGCCTTTCTGTCCCTTCCCTATTTCTCTCAGTAGGAACAGGATCTACAGGAGCTGGACACTGCCAGAGTCTAGTGGAGCAGTTGGTGCTGTTTCATGGCAACGTGTGTGTGCGCATGCATGTGTGTGTGTGTATTTGCCAGTTTAGGGAGATGTATCTCTCTCCTTTGTAAACGACACATCACAGTAAGAGGCATCGGGATGCTGTGATGTTTCAGTGAAGCTCCTTGGCCAGGAGGGAAAGGGATCACCAGAGGGTTGGCTGCAAAGCCTTAAGGAACTGAGGAACACTGTGTTAAAGGGTTTTCCTGGACTGAGGCACTTGCTGAGGTGCACAGGAAGGGAGGATTGGGGGTTGAGGGAAAGTGTTATCAAATAATTGCTAAGGAAATGCTAGTGTAACATCAGGACTCTGGAAGTAGGCTCTGTCATGTGGAAATAGGCTGGTTTTGCTCTTTGGCCATGTTTCACTGGGCACTTCTTTGCAGGATCACTACTGAGCCACCTATCCAGCCTGTACTGGCTTTGGTACTGGCTTGCAATATGTCCTGTAGAGACAATGCTGTTGGTGAGCCAGCTGTAGATTAAACAAGGACCCTAAATAGAGCTACCACTATGGCAGGTTGGTCTGTGTTGTCTCCCTGTCTTCAGGAGGTTGCTACCATGGTTGCTAAGATGAAGAATAAGTTTGGCCACTTATGTCATCTTCATGGCTCTGAACAAAGCTTGCTTTGTTGTATTAGTCTCTGCTTCTGCGCTCAATTGGCCAGGGTGTAGTTCAGCCCAAGAAGTTCAGAGAAAGGGAAAGCTACTCATCCATGTTTCCAGACCCAGCCTCATTCCCACTTCTCCCTGCCCCACACAATGGGTAGCTGCAGCTATTTCTAAGGCTTCTGTTTTGTTTTACTGGAAATCTCAGAACTTCTGTAACCAACAGGTTTCTTTAAGAATGGAGCACAGAAACAGAGGGAGTCAGAAGGGCCATCTAGTCCCACTCCTGGCTCCAGCTGGCTCCGCTTATGTGTATGTCCAAATGACTGAAGAAAGAAAGGCTTGGTGCAGAGGCTAAGAAACACAGAAGAGATAGCACCTTTCCAGTGGTGAACAGAGTGCAAGATATTGAGAGGTGTGTGTGGCAGCTCCGCATCAAGGACAGGGCTCCTCCTGGGTCATGCTTCCATGCGCTGCAGCCAGCGCTCCACTTACTCAGCAATGTGTGATGCTTGGCAGTTCCTGTGAGTTGATGCACTCCTAGGGCAAATGTGTCTCTTGGGTTGGTGACCCTTTGGCTTTCCATGTGTGTCTGGCAAAATCTGCTTGGGTGGATAACTTTCAGAGCCCCTACAGAGGATTCCACTATGCATTAACAATTCCTCCTTGCTTTGCTGAAGGAGTGAAAAGGAAGGGGTATTTTTGTGGTCCCCTGTATCTGTAGTACATTGATAATGCGGCTCCTCCTAAGTCACTCTCCTTCAGGGCTGTGATCTGAATGAGTAGGACACAGCAGTTAGGGCAACCTGAAGTCACCTCCAGGCTTCAATGATGTATACCATAACCATCATTTTGTAAAGCACCTGAGAATGCAGCTTGGAGATCAGAAGTTTCTCCATGTAAAAAGGGAAAATTAACTCAAAACTGTCTGTGTACAGTAAACTTGCTTATCAGGCAGAAAATTTGGTCAGAACACTCTTCCTACCATTTCACGTGAGAGTGTGTTCAGATGCTGCATGGCCCCACCATTACTCTGAAGCAGGATAGTCTCTGAGAAAGGTTGTACCACCTAATTTATATAGAAGTGTGCATCAGTCCTCTGAGAGGATCAGGGAGGAATGTTCCTGTGCAGAGGTGCAAGAGAATTGAAAGTTCAGATGGTATTGCTACGATAAAACAACCAATCATTATCAGAGTCTGCAGAGAAGATTAAAATTGTCCTAGTTTCCTCCATACAGGTCAGGGAGACTTTGGACATTTCAGAATTCAGCTTCTCAGATGAATTGCTGCAAACAAGAATTTTCTTTGAATATCCATCCCCTTCTAGAACCTGTGTGAATTCTGGCCGTTTTTAATACACTGCTGAATTTATATTCTGCAGTTTATAATTTTAATTTGTATTTCTGATTAATCTGAGATACATGTTTGCCCTTTGTGTGTATCATTCAGGAGTTCCCAGTTCAATTAATTATTTAAATCATTGTAGCAATATAAATATCTGTGACATTCTGTTATCTAAAATAAGAATATGCAAATATGCAAACTATTGTTTACTTATTTTGAAGACCTTGTGTCATATCTATAATTGAAGAAAGACCATAGAATGAAAAAACAGCATAAATTCTCCAGTGAACTAGCTGAATTTGGCAGTGTATAAATTTTACTAAATATATGCGCTTATCTTGCCTACCTCTAATCATAGAGAGGGACAAAGAAGAATTAATAGTAGACCTTTCCCTGGCATTTGGGGATTCTGCTCAGTGCATCTTCTGCCTCCTCAGATTTCACCAGACTTGCCACCCAATAGCCTACACATTTTCAATGTGCTGCCCACACATATGACTCTCTTAAGGCCCAGCAACTGATTACAACATTTCATTTATTAGTCAAATTTGCATCATTTTATTTCATAACATCAGTCATGTCTCTCTGAACTTTGAACATTCTTTCAGCTCTAGCACAATATTAAAAGCAAACCAAACCACTGAGAATTAAATAGTAGTGTCAAGAAGTGCCTGCCTCATTGTCTGCCCCAGAGTGTGCTCTCCAAGGAGCAGTCATCATTAGAGCTGGAAAAAAGAGATCTGATTGCTGCATCCTTGTCTTCTCCCACTTGCCAACTATGCTTGAACTCAACCTTTGAAGGCTACTTAAGGCAAACACAAATGTAACTAGACCAATCTGCCTTAGTGCTTCCCTTGAATTTTCTTCAGTGATCAGGTCTGTCATTTCTTTACAAAGCATTACCTGAAAAAGACCAAGAAGCCATTTATGTGTGTGGAGATTGAGGGAGGAATGATACCTCTTGAACCCCATGAGAAATGTCCAGCTGTGCTCTATGGCTTATTGTTCTTTGGTTGAGTGACAGGCACTTGTTTCTGTTGCATTCTCCATTGTTCTGGCATGCATGCTTGTTATGTTCCTACTTGTAATCAAAGAACCATGTTGCCATTTGTAATAGGGGAGATGCTTCAGGAAGAATTGCATTCTTGTTCTATGTGTGGAAATAAATCTAGTTGAATTCACTAGTGTTTACTTCCAAACATAGGATTGCAGCTGAAGGGAGATGGAAAAGATATGGGGGGAAAGGACAGGTGCATGCCCCATAGTATTTCTATTGGACTTTAATTATAAACAAGAGAAGCAAAACAAACCTTGGTTGGAAGATGCCTTCACCTCTGCCTACTGCACTTAATTTTGGAATGAGATTATAGGAGCCTTTGTATGGTTTTTGTCACTTTTACAGAATAGGATAGTCCCTTCAGCTGCCTCCAGTCCTGCTCTTGTGTATCTTTAAAAACTATTGGTCTGGTGATCACTGAATGAAAACATCCCTCTTGTTCTCCTCTGAAGCAGTAGCAGACTATGTTGAGGACACGGTGGGGGAACCAGTGTATCTTTAGGTCCCTGATCTCCTTTCAAAGGAGCTTCTTTAAATACTGACATTTTCTAAATTTGGGGGTAGGGAGGCTGGTGAACCACTTGCAAGATTAGCCAAGATAAAAAAGGCTATTGGATTATGGGGATTGTAGCTCCAAGCAGCCAGTGCTGTCCTTGTATGACAGTCTGTGGATATGCTTGCTTCGTTGAACATGAACATTTCTTGGGGGAAGCAGTCCCTTAATATGGAAATGATACAGAAGGCTGGAGGGACTGCAAAACTTTGGGAAGCGACACTGCCAGATGCCTTCCAGTGTCTCCAAGTAAAAATCAGCATCACTTGTTCTGGTTGAAGATGGTAGCCTAGATGAATATATGTGAGATAATGGAGAGACAGTTGCTCTGCCTAGACAGAGGGAAGGGAAGAAGGACCAGCATCCCCTTGCCAGATTGCTTCAAGAGCCAGCACCTGTGTTACTTCACTACATTACTTGCAGGAGCACATGTGCCTTCTGCACATTGCAGGCCAGCACATTCAAAGTGACATAAGAACTGACTCTTTGCCAGAGCTAAATGTCAGAACCAGAATAATGTACAGCTAATAAGCAACAATGTGCTAAATACACGAGGAATAGAGTCAGGCAGGAGCTGCAGTGAGCACATTACAACCCCATGCCTTAGGTAGTGTGGGGCTTAAAATACTGGGATTCAGCATTCAAGACTGTGTGCTCACAAAAGAGTTTAGCACAGCCTCTTTAGCGTTAATCCCAGTGAACTGCTCCATCCTGTTTCCAGGTTGAGCTGTTCCCTTTCGACAGGCTAACAAGATTCATGCAAATATCACACCTGTGGCCTTCTTCTCAGCATATACCCAACAGTATGAGTGATTCTGTTACCACCAATGAGGCATCACCAATGAGGCATTGTTGCCACCAAGCGCCTTACCATGTCAGGGAAATGGAGATACTGTCTGCTGAGCACATGCTGTCTTCTTCCTCCTACAAAATTGGGTAGAGCCTGTTCTTATCTGAAGGACAGAAAACAAAGCAGACACTGGCAGCTGACCAGCTTGGGGCTGGATAGCTTTTCTGGAGCAGCCCCTTTCTATTCTTTGCATGAGTTTGCAAAAAGTGGGTGGTCAGGGAGGGTTCAAAATGCTTGCTAACTCCTGATGTAAAGACTTCCTTAGGGGATGGTTTTTAGCATTTTCATTGGGATTTTTTTAAAGATTCTTCTACTTTGGGGGTTGCGGGTTGTTGTTGTTTTTTCATTTTTACAAATGCCTTTTAATTATTTGTATATTCTTAAAAGTTTGTCTTACCTGTAAATAACTGTGTTGGCTATTTCTGAATATGAATCAGTGGGACTTGGGACTTTTTGTCATTAGCAAATAACAGCCCTCTGCCTCAGACAAGATAACCTGCAGCATCCCCTTTGACAATAATGCTCCAATGGCCAATGTGTCTTGATGCTCATAGCAGTTTGGCTTTACTTAGGCACAGTCAGTGGAAGGTTTATGGCTGGGCACATCATGTGACATGGACCATGTGCAATCTACAGCTTTATAATGGAGCACCTTGATAATTTTTCTTCACACAATTTGGAAAAATGACCTCCATAGGACTGGCCCATGCTGAGCACTGTCCCCCCAGGATAGTCCCTGCTGAAAAACATTCTAACTGAATTGAATGTGAGCTAATCCAACTGCTTAGATTCCCTCCTCGTAACACCTGGCTAAGTTGATGGACTATTTTCAGTTCCAGTTATCTCCAAGGAAGGTTGTGTGTATCTGTAGGTGCTGAACTTTCTCTAAATCTGAGCGTCTCGCCTCACTACTTTATTTTCTTATGAGAATATGTAACACTCAACAGAACTCCCAAATTCCATCAATTCATGCTGAAATCTGTGTGTCCACTACCCCTGATCATTCTCATGACTCTCTTGGTATTTCTACGAGGAAATTACACACAATCATTTTTCTCACTCTGATCCCATACCCTCTATCAAACTGACTTTGTAGAATTTTGAAGCAGCACAACCCCCCCCCCCCCAATCAATTTCAAGAGAGACTGTAGTGTATGGCTGTGTTCATATATGACAGTGAACCATGGCTTAAGCACAAAGTGTGTGATCACCAGTATGCCTCTGGTTCATGTATTCATAAATGCCTCTCTCTCTGACACAGCGGCAAAGAGATTGGAAGCTTTTGCTTCTGCTTTCAACTGACAGTGGTTACTTTTGATATTCTTGAACTGAGGGCTATGGTTGCTGTGTAGAAAACAAACTAGATTTATTTGTCATAGTTTAAAATTGACTTATTTCTCTAAACTGTAGGTAAAACTAACTGCAGTTTGTTCATGTTTGTTGAACCAACAAATAGTTCAGTCACAAGTCAACTGTTTTGAATTAAACCATAGTAAGTTCAGTCATAATTAGCTGAAATGGAAGTGAAAGCTTCTGAGGGATTCATAGCTGTCCTGGAGAAAGAACGGTTCGTTGAACTATAGTTTGTTAAACTATACTTAGTTGAAAATGGAAGTGAACACTTCCAGTCTCTTCACAGCCATGATGGAAGAGGAGAGGGGTGTATAGAAGCCAATGGTTTGTGCACATAATGCTAAATGTGGGTTTTTCTTAATGTGCAAATCTGGCCGACATGTGCATTGTCAAGTGGGGAAGAAGGGATAATTGTAATACTGCTGTCATGTCTCATATTTTAGTTTACTAAATCTTGACTGTGCTTTCTGTTATGCTTGAGCATGTCTAACATTCCCTTGAGTTCTTCTGCTTTTTGCTGCTCCCAAGCTCCACCCAAATTGCATGAAGGACAGTTTTCAGTTTGTATTAAATAGATTTGCCATCGGTAGTGCATGCTGGCTGGCTGTTAGAGGGAAAGATACCTTCAGTCTTTACTTTTCAGGTGCCATTTTTAAGACAATGTTGCTTAAATGATCGCTCTTCAACACTGGAAGGCTAACTCCATTAACCTCAGCTTTTTGTATGAAGGCATACATGTCACAGTAGGCATCTAGATGACCAAAACGCTAGGCAGAGTTCTGTCATCTCAGAATTGCTTGACTTGCATCATTCTGTGAGATGGCAGGGAGAATCTTAACCTAGCTCAGATGCACATGTACATAAAATCTGGTTACAGGTGTGGCAAAATGAACCCCCTTAATGGTTCTCTGTCTGGTCAACCCACAGAGGTTTGCTGTTACATAACCTGCTGATACATGTGGCTTTTTCTCTGGAATTTCATCCCCATGCTATGTTCTGCAATTGAACATGAGTTCTAAATATAGCCATCCCAAGCAGAATATGACCTGTGTTTTCTGCCTCCTGCTGATAGAATCTGAATCACTAGCAGTTGTCTGACTTTATAGGGAAGCCATTCACTTCCTTTTAATTAAAAATATTTGGGCAATAACAGGTGGTCACATGTTTTTATGTCACTGCCTTAAGATGTAGAATCCACCAGGAAGTTGCTGAATTTTACAACCCATTCCTATTCCCTAAAAGAATAGTGATAAAGGGTCTATTATATAAGAGAATAATTCCTAGGAACAAAATCAATTTGAAACTCCAAAGAAGAGGGGCATTTCTCCATGTGTTTAGGTGATCTCATTCATGTCCCATTTAAATGCATTTTGGGGCATAACCTTAAGCCAGATTTACCCACACAGGGTTCCATGCTGCTTGCAAGATGGCTTAGCTAGGGCTTGGCTTGGGCGTATGTCATGCTGGTATGCTAATGTCGCATGCAGAGATCACCTGGTTTAAACAATACTAGCCACATGGAATACTACATGGATGGTGGTGTGGACATTGCTATTAGTCGTCGTCATTGTCATCTTCTTATTCTTAGCCTAGTCTCTCTCTTCCCATTACTTAATATCATGCTCTTTAATACAGCTCTTCATCAGGCCAGTTTACATGTTCCAATAAGCTTCTGGTGGATTGTGACACGTTTTTGAACATTCAAAGCAAGACCACAGCTTGTGTTCTCCAAACCTGGGTACCCTTCTATGAGATGTATGAGGGTTACATAGAAACACAGAAAGAGTGAGTCAGAAGGGCCCTCTCAGGCCATCTAGTCTGACCCCTGGCTCCAGCTGGCTCCACTCATGACATGTCTACCCTAACCCTAACCCTGTCCTTGAACACCCTCACCAATGGGGTTTCAACCACCTCCCGTGGAAGCCCATTACCTACCCTAGTGGTCCTAAGTGTCAGTACTTCAACTTGAACCTTGGTTCCGTGAGCTTTGCTCCATTAGAATGCATCTCAGGTTAAATAATCCTTGCATGGTGGTGCATGGCCTGTTCCAGGGTTATGTGAGAGTACTTTAACCCTCACAATATCCACTTCAGCTAGCTTTAGATAACAAGCTGCAGCTTGAACGTTCAGAAACTGTCAGGTACATGTCACAGTCTACATAGTCTTGAGCAAACCATTGTGGGCTACCCTGATCCTGCAAACTGGGTCATTGTCTCTTCCCATGGCCTTTCTATCTCCTGCCATTCTGAATACAAATCCTAGTTGTCTTCACATAGCTCCCATTGTTTCCTTCATTCTGTTTTAACTTTCTTTCTCAATTGCTTTTCTTCACTTGCCCTCATATTTCTACCTCTTTATCCCTCATCATGCTGAAGCCAATATTTGTATCCTCTTCTCCTTTCCCCCATGGTTCCCAGTACCTGCACCTGCTTCTAACTTCTTTCTTTGGGATGATCTTGCATGAACAATACTTTGACTTTCATTTTCTTAGCTTAATCCTTACTGCCACATTCCCATATTGCAGTCTTCCCTAACCTGATTCCCTCCAGATGTTTTAGATTTGGGGACTGTAATCCAAAATATCTAGAGGTCACCAGACTAGAAAAGTCTGCCATATTAATTCCCAGATTTTTTCATCTCTTTCTGGGTCTCTTGTTCAGATGTACCTGCCCGCTCCACTGTTGCATTCCTTGTTTGGTTCATTACCTCTTTACTGCTCCTCTGACGCTGGTTACTTGTGTTCCTTCACTTGTACCATTACTTTATGTGTATGTATACACATGCTAATCTTATTTTCTTCTTGGAATACATGCCTACTATTCTAGGGATTGGGCTGCCTCTGTGAAACTACTCTGTAGTGTTACCAGTACACATTCTTCTGAATCCTTTCAAATAGCCTTCAAGTGGATATTGTATGCTTCTTTTTTTCCCTATCGTACATTTCTATTTTCCAGTTATCTACCTTTCCTTTTCTTCTGGCATCTGATCAAAAGAAGGCCTGATTAAAATAACTTACCCCTGCTATTATACTCCAGGGTAAATTGTTTGTCAGTCATCCATATCAGGGTCCCATTATGCTGTGCAGCCTCTGAGGGAAAGGCATTTATTGAGCATTTCTGTTACACAAAAGGCCATGTTGTCATGCTGTGCACCACTCTCTAAATTATCCTTTGTCCAAATTCACGTGTAGGAGGACCTTGGGCATCCACTTCTCCCTGGAAAGGCACATTCCCAATATGTTTCTTCAAGTGTTAATGGTTAGGGCCAATGCTTTACTTCTTGTACTGGGGCTGCAGACCTCGGTACAAATGCATGCGTGCTCCATCAAACATTAAAGGAATGAATGCACAAAGTAAAATTTGGCACAGGTCTTTACAAAATTGAGTTGATGTGGCTCCATCCTTTCCTGGTTCTTATTTTAGGACTTCTTTTGTTTTTAAAGGCATTGATTCTTACATTGTGGAAACAGTGGGTTGGTTTGTGCTATAAGAACATTTTGCAAATGTCCATCAGAATATCTTTCTCATTGGAAAGAGAAGATAGCATCTTTGCTGCTTCCAGGGAAATGTTTGCCTTGTGCCTTGCTGGCTTCTCCCTACTTCTTGATTTTAAAAAATGGGGGTAAGATGCAGTGTCTGGATTCTACCTACAATACTTCAGCTCTTCTATCAAGGAGTGTGTGTGTGTGGGGAGGGGGGGGTCAGTTTTCAATTGTATTTCATTTCTGAGATCTGTACTTTTGTATTCCAAAAATTTGAATCACTGTCTCTGGTGGTTGCATATTCTCCTAGATCTGTTTTGTGCCTAGTCATTGCCTTCCATACCAAGAAGATTGTAAATATTCAGTTTGAACTGGGGCATGATTTGCCATTGTTGTAGCAAGGGGATTTTGTGGGAGGAGGGCTGTTTTTAAAATCTTTAGGTCACAATGTTCTGTCTGGTCAATTTTATTGTATAAAAAGGCAAATGGAACTAATTGTAGAAGTCGCACAAGCCCACAAGCTGGATTTTTTGTTTTGTTATGTTATGTTTTTACTCCAAATTCTCAAACACTTGTATATGGTCTTGGAGCTTTTTACACTGAATTGTTGTAGAAAATGAGAATCTAAAGATCTGTTGAAAGAGCCATTAAAATACTCTTGTTAAAAATAAAACTGTATCCACATTGTCATCTTACTTGTTGCCATCAAGTTGTTGCTATACAACGACATGTTCATTAAAGCATGTCCTTTTCTGATATCTTAAGGGATCTTGTACAACCCAAAGGATTCCACCATGTATGAGAACAAGAAGTAGGATACCCATGAAATAGCACTGATACTTCTAACTCCTGCATGAAATTCATCAATAATCACTCATTCTTAATACCTTGGACAGAGGTGAGGATTGAGGAACTGATCTCTGTGTCCCAGAATGTTTGCAGATATAGCGGACACCACCAGCAATCAAATACATGGGTGTTACTGGTTATGTATAGACCTATTTATTTACTACAGATGAGCATTCATTTGTGTCTGCTGTGATTTGCATGTGATAACCAGATGAATCTTGCATACATGTACCCACCGTATGCCTAGTTTTATCTGCATAATACGTAGGAGTTATCACAGCATTGTGTTACTATGCAGTAAACTGCAACAGGTTCAAAGAGAGAAATCTGTGTTTTATCCAAGCAGATTTGTGTTCTGTTTTATGTTATGTGCAACTGTTTAGCTTCAATCAGAGTGAAGAAAAAATAAGCACAATTGTAATTATAACATACTCTGGTGTGTGTGTGTTTACTCTTTGTGCATTAGAGTACATTCATAGTCAGCTGCTTTATAAAACATTTTTCTTGAAAATTTGAAATCCAATATTGATGGCAAACTGTCTCTTTTCCTGCGTCTTTTTGTGATTTTTAGCATCATCCTCTTAATAGCTCTGCGTATAGACCAGAACCCAGCACCAAGCATTTGGAGATAAGGTCATGGCTGCTGTGCGGTTGTGGGTCACACAATTTAAAGAGGTTTGTGCCAAAGGCCAAACATGGGCATCATTCAAAAATAATAATTTAGTTGGGATAGGCAGTTGATTTGTGATAAAAATAATTGAATTTGCTACATTCCTTAAAATATGAGTGGGCAGGCTTCAGGCTTGTAAGACCTACTTCAGGATTTGGGTCCACCAATCAGAGGATATATTTATTTATTGAATTTGTTTGAGAGCTGTCCATTAGCATCATGCTCTTTGGGTGGCCATTACAATAAAATAGCAATAAAATAACAGATAATATAATACAGTAAAAATCACTGCATGCATACATACATACATACATACAGAAAGAGAGAGAAATGCAGGCTTCCAAATTGTGAGCAGATACAGAATCGGTTATGAATTGCAGCTTGCGAGTTCTGCACTGTTTGTTTAATTAGAACTGCATCCATGTTACTACTGATCTGGGCTGCTAACACCAAAACAAATAGAGCAACATAAATGCCTGATCAAAGGCAGCCAGTTAATACTCATCTTTTACAGGTATGATCTCTGAGATTTAGAAAGAGCAACTAACACTAAGGCAGCACTAGCTGAGACTGGAATTTTCTTTGATGCTGTTAAGTACTGGAAATCTGTAATTCTTGCTGATCTACTATAAATTACCTAAAAGTCAACCAAAAGATTTCAGTCTACCTTGGGCACCCCTCCCATGAAAGATCTGACTGAGCATTTAGAATGGCATAGAATGTGATTATGTGTACTTTAAAATATGAGGAATATGTAGACATGCAGTTCTCTGCAGAGAACTGTATAGATTGCTGAGAAGGTGACAAGAAACTAGGAGACAGCTACATATTCTTTAGGGTAAGCCATCTGCCTTGACTCAGAGGTATCTGCTTGCCGGGGTGATACGGTTGCAGAAATCAAAGTTACCAAGAAAATCACAAGATAACAAGATACTGATCCAGCCAAAGTCAAACAGAAGCATGTGTACCTATAGTGAAGTATTTTTCAAGTATTTATTTTACTGAACTGTTTTCTCATTGTTTGTGCTTCTAATGTTTTAAAAATAAATACATGCTCAGAAAAGTTGGAGCTGGAACAGATCTCACAATTATTGATGTACAGAGCAGTGGGCTTCATGTTTATTTCCCATTTAATCAAATTTGGTTGAGGGGCTGCACAGTTATGATCAGTGCTCTCAAGCCATAGTAGCTGAGTGGAAAATGTATTGGTGTTTGCTATAGTAGGGAGCCAGCTACGTACATCCTACCTCCTGCTCTAAAAGAAAAGGTCACACCGCAATCCTCCTGTTCCTTCAAATGTTCACAGACAGTTTATTGACAGACACACTGAAGATAAGAGCAGAAAAAAAGATCTGGAGGGGATGCTCCTTGTTATACTTTATAACCAAAACTTGGTTATTATATTTGGTTATATTTTTGGTGCAGTTATATCCTTCCGAGGTAGTGGGATTGGAGGACAAAGTAAATTACATGAGTTTGTGTTTCTGAAGAACAGTTGTTTTGATGGGTGTTTTAAGATTTTAAGGAGGGATGTGGTCAGATGGTGGTTCTTGAAAAGATGTTCTATGATTTCAGTAAAACCAGAAGGCTATGCTGTGGTCCATCACTGACCTCAGCTGGAGATAAGGGATTCAGAGCGGAGTCTCTCTGCTGACCTGAACGAATGAGAAGGAAGATGTAGATCAAAGTGCTTCTTAAGGTATGGAAAGCTCATGCCATTTAACATGGGAAAGGTTGAACTAGCACTGTGACTTGGGCCTAGAAACTGGCCAGGAGTCAGTGCTGATGAACCTGAATAGGAGCTTTATGGTTTTTGCAACCTGTCCTTGTGAAAAGCCAGGACATACAACTCTGCACCAGCTTCCAGGCCGGCTGTGAGGAGAGCCCCACAGAGTGCCTTCCAGTAATCAAAGCAAGAGTGTTTTCCTATTTGAATATTTTTAATACCCACATTCTACAAGCAAATATCCATTTTGTGCTGGGACGTGGTGCAACAAGATACTTAGAGTTTATGTTAAGTGTTCTTTAGAAATCTGCTCCAGGGGACAAATCCCATAACTACTTTGGACTGCTTTTTCCATTTTTCAGTCAAGAGCAAGTAAAGGATATCCACTCCACTCCAAACACATGCACACAAACCCCTAATTTAAATCTTTCTCTGATGCAACAGAGAGTAAAACGATTTGGCTCTTCGTGGGGATTAGTCCATAGGAAGACTTGTGCACGGGGAAATTAACAAAAGCACTTTGTGGAGCAGAAGTGGCAGGAACAATGGCTAGAATGTAGAACGTGCTGCAACATGTGTTCGAGCGAGCGCATGATGACAATACTCCACTAAGAAAGTTTTTGTAAAATGAAATTCTTTCATCTGTCCAAACAAATAAAAACAAAAATGGAAATTATACAAACCAAAGAAGGTTTGTACACACCCATTCTTTGCGATGTTTTCTGGTATACTTCAAAGGACTGGATGGTTGTTTACATTACCTGTGACAAGCACAGCAGAATCCAGAGGGGAAAGCAAGTGTGTTTTATAGATCTGTTGCTGGGAATGTCACATAACAAGCTGCATTGCAGCATGGTTTTGATTCATAGAAGCTTGGTGACTTACCTTCCTTCCAAATGCAGCTCAAGCTGCCTTATTATACATGTATGGGAGTTTGAAACAGAGGTACTAGCTGTATGTAAGAATCAATGCAAGTCAATGCAATGCAACATTATTCTCATTTTGTGCCACTCTATGCATACTAATACATACAACTGCATCTCTCAAAACTTCTATGGGAGATAGGCTTCCTTCCTTCTCTCCCTTTTGCTGGCTTGTTAGAATCTGCCTCCTTTCCTAAGCCCTGCAATGTCAAGATGCTGTTCCTTTTTTAACACCTGGTTTGCACAATGAAGGGCGTGGATCACTTCTACCGATGAAAAGCAAAACTGCAGCAATGGGGGATTCATCCGTGTTGAGGCATACTAGGTGGAGCTGTTGTGCTGCTTCAGAACAGCTTTTGGAGCAGAAACTTTTTTGGAGACAGAATCCTAATTTTTCCAACAGGAGACCAGGAGTGTGGGACTTTCCCATAGCTCCTCGTACACCCTCCAAGTCTGGAAATGAGAAGGTTGGGGAACCTCTGGAGAAGATTTTGGCAGGCAGACAGGATCCAGGAGGGAGGAGAGGATACTGAAGGCTTTCCCACAAATGGGATCCGGCTGTGGGAATGAGGATGCTGGATGTGTGTAACGTAGCAAAGCAGAGAAAAGTGTCAGTCTTCTTGTGCCATCTCAGTGTAGGGATGGGGTAGGTCAGGGGTCCTCAAACTTTTTCAATAGGGGGCCAGTTGAAAGGTGGCGGCTACACATGCGGGCCGGGGGGGGGGGCTGGGCGCACGGGCTGGTGAGAGTGCACACAAGGTGGCGTTGGGCGGGCGCTGCGGCACCTCGCTCGCTCGGAGATCTCGCAGCAAGTTCAAAACCATCTCTGGGTGAGCAAGCCACCACCTCCTGCCTGCGTGGGCCGGATGAATGGGCATGGTGGGCCAGATCCGTCCCACAGGCCGTAGTTTGAGGACTCATGGGGTAGGTATTCAAACCCTTTAATTGTGGGGTTCCAAAATATTACCCATGAGGAAATGTGGCCCACAACAGAAAAAGGCTGCCCCTCTCTGTTTCAAACCCATTCCTGCTTTGTCATATTCACTCTGGGGGATTTTTTCCAGAACCCCAAGTTTTACCAAGAGCCACAGAAGTTGCTTCTGAGCACATCCACAGACTCACAGTTTGTTTTCAGCACAAAAACTCATTCACATAAAAGCTAATTCTTGATTACCCTGAGCTTTTATTGATGCAGTCTAGGTAGGAAAAAATTATCTTTTTGTTCCTACTGCTGAATGACCGGGCATCAGAAACTCTTGTAAAGGTACTGCAAATTAACCAAAAATCTACCAGTAAATACACATCTACCTTCTGCCCATTTCTGTATTTTAGTGCCATTTCCTTAAAAAAAAAAAAAACACTGTATACGTAATTTTTTTTTAAGCTTTACAGATTGGCTGGTTGATGCCTTTTGTGTCTTTTTGCTCTTAACCAATGTCCTGGCTTCCACTAAGATAAATGCACACTTCTTCACATTATTGATAGCTGTGACATTCCTGAGAATT